ACAAAAAACCTGCATTGGGTCCCCAGAAACCACATAAAAGGCCAGCCTGGTGGCCTCATGCTTGTAATGCCAACAATGGAGAGGCGGGGCAGGAGGATCCCTGGGGCTTGCTGACCGGCCAGCCTGGCCTAATGGTTGACCAATGAAGGAAGGCCCCTGCCTTACAAGAGACAGGGTTGGGGCTGGGTGTTGGTGGTGCACACCTTTAGTCCCAGCACTTGGTAGGCAGAGGCAGGTAGATCTCTGTGAGTTTGAGGCCAGCCTGGTCTACAGAGCAAGTTCCAGAACATGTTCCAAAGCTACACAGAGGAAACAAAGAAAAAAACAAAAACAAGAGAGGAGTTTGTGGCTGGAGAGATGATGAAATGCCTGCTCTTGCAGAGGACCCAGGCTCTATTCCCAGCACCCAGGCTCTATTCCCAGCACCCACGTAGCAGCTCATCACCATCTGTAACTCTAGTCTCAGGGGATCCGACACCCTCACAGACATTCAGGCAAAACACCAATACACATAAAGTAGGTAAATAATTTAGAGAGAGGAGAGAAAGGTGCATTGTGGCTGAGAGCTTGTACACACACACACACAGAGAGAGAGAGACAGAGACAGAGACAGACAGAGAGAGAGAGAGAGACAGAGAGAGAGACAGAGAGAGAGAGAGAAACCTTGGCTTGTGAGGAAGAAGAGAACTCATTAGTTCACGGACACTGGCTACATTGACAGACCTTCCATCATTTTGCAGCCCTGGGCTTTAAGGGAAAAAATAGCTAACAGAGCTACTCAGGTGGCTGGCCTCGACCTCACACTGCCCACCGTCTCCAACTCGTTCCAAGGACTGAACACCTTACTTACCAGGGTCACTGGGCTACGAAGACCCCGATCCCGCCCCATCTCCCTCCACCTGTTTTCTTTCTTTGCCTTTTGGCTTGTTGTTGTTGTTGTTGATTTTGTGGTTGTTTAAGACAGGGTCTCACTCAAGGCTCTGGCTGGCCTGGAACTTGTTATGTAGCCCAGGATGGCCTCAAGCTCACAGTTGAGCCTTCATCTGCAGTTCTGGGGTTCCAGACTTACATCACCGCACCTAGCTTCCTCTGTCTATTTCCCCACACCCTTAGGCTTCCTTCAGCCACCTCGACACTTGTTGGTCAATATCCGATCTCAACAGGCACTTCTTAAGAGGTTCTTCCCTGAGTTTCACCAGACATCATCTTCCCAGAAGTCTCTGATGTAATTCTCCCCTGAGCTCCTCTGGGACGCAGTATATCTGTTTTCAAAACACTTAGCAAACTGGACTGCCTGCCTCCCTTCTAGAACAGGAGACCCTGGAGAGCCTGGGGTCAGGCCTGTCTGTTCATTTCCCTAGAGTCATGGCCCTGGGTTCCCCTGAGAGGCTCAGGACAGGTGTGCTAAGTGATTACATGCCCTTTTCACCCTTGACCTTCCCATTCGCATGGCCTCCCAGTGCCCGTGGAGCCGCTAGAAATACATCCCCAGGAGTGGTGTCACCTTGTCCCTTTTGGTGATAAGAGACCACGTGGTTTGGTCTAAGACAGGTATAGCTTCCAGTGTGGGCTCTGCCACTTACAGATTATACATATATTTTATTTTCTTTCTTTTTTTTTCTTTTGTTTGGTTTCTGTGTGTCTGTTTTTGTTTTTGTCTAGTTTTTGTTGTGTTTTTGAAACATATAACCCATGCTAGCCTCAAACTCACGCCATAGCTAATGCTGGCCTCGAACCCCCAAACCTCCTCCCCTACTCTCCTAAATGCTAGGATTATAGATTTGAGCCACCACACTTGACTGTATAGCCCAGGCTGGCCTGGAACTCAAGATCCTCCTGCCTCAGCCTCTCCAAGTGCTGGGATTACAGGCCTACATGGCCACACCGAGCTTTGTATCTGACGAGTACACAGTCCCTGGCTGAGCTTGTAGAGTCACTATGAGAATCAAGAGCAGCCTGGCACACAGATGGCACCCATCGGGCCACAGTTCTTCCTCCCCCTCCTCTGACAGCTCTCTCTTCTAAACCCCTTTCTGCAACCTCTGGACACGGGTACCCATAGAATCCCAAGACCACCCCTCCATTAACAACTCGCACTGCCTTCTTCCTAGGCAGGACAGGTGCCCTGCAGGTATTTATCACAAGTGAGCCAGCCATAGCAGCAGCTTCTCGAACACATGGGTGGCCAGGCCTTCCTGCCTATTGCAGGCAGGTAGAGTACCTGGAGTTTGGGGCGTTAGGAGCCCTCACATGGCCTAGGCAAGGGACTAAGGAAAGGGCCCAGCATTTACTGAGGAATGAAAAGGAGAGAGGGACTGTGAAGGAAACATGTAGCTCAAAGGAAGCTTCGGGAACCACAGAGCCTGGGTTCTTCTCTTCTGTTCAGGGTTGGGGACCCCTAGTGGACTCAAGGGTCACCTGTGCAGGACTGTGTATCATCTGGAGGTCTCTGTCCCAAAGGCATCAATATTCCTTTAAACCTAGCCTTTCTGTTTCTGCCCCCACTCCCTCCATCCCTCTCTGCCTGCCTGCCTGGGTCCCATGGTTCTCAGGCTGTCCTCACTCTACATATAGTCACGGTTAGATGGTGCTAAGGGTGGGACCCAGGGCCCTGTGTGCTATAGACAGCCCTCTAGTAACTCAACTCCCTTCCTAATTCTGAGGCAGAGTCTCTGTATAGCTCAGACTTGACCCAGACTCTCTTGAAATTAATTTATTTATATACTAATTTTTAATTACAGTTAATTATTTGGGGTGGGACATATCCCACTGTGTGGGTGTGGAGGTCAGAAGACTTTGTGTTGAAGTCAGTTCTCTTCTTCCTCCTGGTAGGACCCAGGATTGAACTCAAGCTTTGGTGGCAAGCGCCCTTACCCACTGAGCCACGTCACCAGCTGCTCTCAAACGCTTGATGCTTTTGCCTGAGTCTCCCAAGTGCTGGGATTGCAGGCCTCCACTGCCACACCTGATTCTGTCTCATCTGCTGCTGCTAAAAGCACAAGGGCCATCAAGACCACCTTCTAAATCTGTCTCCTCCATCATGTTTTTGTCCTGTGTGAGCACTTTAGGTCCTAAGTGCTCCAAGGCTCCATCCCTGTCCTCATCCTTGTCTTGTGAGATGGGAGCGCCCCTGAGTTCCGAGCTTCCTCACTGCTGACAAGCACCCACCCTCTTCCCAGCTGATGAATAAGACTTGATTGGCCCCCTGAACCATCACCACCCCCGATTCATTCCTTTCAAAGGCTTTCACTCCAAATGGCTCATCTGACGCCACTGCGGCCCCCTCGGGGCTCACGTGGAGGATGTTGCTGTCTCCTGTGATGCTCTCCCAGTGATGAGCTCTGACGTGGGTTCGAGACTATTCAGGTGCTGCACCCGCCCTGTGATTTTCTCCTCTCTGTGGCTGCTCGCCTCATCCGAGGAGCTTCCTCGAGACCTGAATTCATCGCGAGCGAGTCTCTCCAGTATGAATTATGGATTGGATGACAATTTTCCCTTATTCATAGCATTCAAAGATTCTCTCTGCCATGCAAATGTGTTCGTTAGCTACTGAATCCCGTCCAAATGTTTAGGCAGAGCATGGCCCAGAGTGAGGGCCAGGCTTTGTCTTAGTTTGTGTTCTGTGGCTGTTGTAAATACCTCGACCAAAGGCAACTTGGGGAGAAGAAAGTTCATGGACTTGCCCTACAGGTTCAGTCCATCCTGAAGGCCAGGGCAGAAGCTCAGAGCAAGAGCCTGGAGGCTAGGGTTGAAGTGGAGACCGTGGAGGAATGGGGCTTGCTTCCCTGCTTTATCAGCTACCTTTCTTATACTGCACAGGACCACCTATATAACCCAGGCTGGTCTCAAACTTGCCATTCCCCTGCCTCAGTGTACTGCGTGCTGGGATTACAAGTAAGAGGCAGATGCCTGGCTCTTAGCCCATCTTTGAAACCTGCCCAAAGCCCACCACTTCTCGGAAGCCCTCCAGTGATTCTGTGACCCTACACGTAGACACATGTCAGTGAGAATTTGATGTCTACAAATGCTCTCTTCATCTACTCTCTATTGACACCTTATTTTTCCTTCTCTGACAGATTTAACATTTGAAGGTGAGCCACATGTTGTCCTTTGCATTCTCCATGGATTCTTCAAGTGCCAAAACACCGAGGAAGGTGCAGTGGCTTGTGTCTCTGTGTACACTGTGGCATAGGAGGTGGCTCTGGCCATTTGCCTTTGAAGATGAAGCTCGCCTTCCCAGACGATTTTCTGTCTTTCCCTTCAAGGTCTTCCAGGGAGGAAAGGGATTTCTTAGCACTTCCTCTTCCTCCCTACTCTGCCCACCAGGCAGCCCAGCCATGTTAGCTCTGAAGACCCATGAGGTGACAGGAGCCTGCGTTGGAGATGTTACTAGTTAGTTGGTGTTGTGCTTGGACATAGGAATGAGCTTGGGGAAGGACACTTGATGATTAAGAAAGAAGGGGCACTGGTGTGTGTCTCCACCATATCCAGGCTGTGGGAGAGGCTGGCTCAGGGACCACCCCTCATGTGAACTCAGAGCTCTGCTGGCTCAGCTTCCATGGCACATAGGGCTGTACCTGTTGAGGAAATGGTTACTTCCAGACTTAGTAGACAGACAGTTCATGGAGGTAACACACAGACTAGAAAGTGAAGGAGTACAGAGTTCTAGGTCCCACCAAGGCTAGATGTCCCCTTCCTTGCTGGTTATAAAAATCTCTTGTCATGTATAAAAAGGTAGGGTGGCAAATATCTCTAAACCCAAGTTCTCATGTGGCCACAGTTCCCTTCTGGCCCTTTAAATGGAGTATGTTAAGGGATGGGGATGTAGTTCAATTGGTAGGGTGCTTACTTAGTATGCACAAGGCCTTGGGTTCCGTTTGTAGTGCTCCATGAGCCAGGTGTGGTGGCACATGCTTGTGATCCCAGCACTTGGGAACATGTGGACGGCTCACCAAGTGCCCAGGCACACAGGGAAGGGAGTGTCTGGTAGAGGCCACATAAGAATCCGTTTGTCCCCAGTGTTCCGTACTCCTGTCTTGGAAATATAATGCTATAATGTGATTTGTACTAAGTCTCTAGAACATTCCCTCCAGTTGCACCAATAATGACTGTCCCAAGGACGCATTCAATTAAAAAAAAAATGGTACAAATGGAGAGAGGAGCCACAAGCAGAGGAAATGCAGGCTCTTGAAGAAACAAAGGCCTGAGGAGAGAGGTCACTGCCCCAGGCACCCAGGGAGCTGTTGAAGTCCACCCTAGAAGGGGCTTCTAGCACCCTGCTCAAGCCGGCAGTCTAGAAAGCTGTGCAGATGCCCTTGCTGGTCCTGACAGCACACACCAGGAGGTTCATCACTCAGGACATGGAGGCAAGGCATTCTCCAGAGTCATCCTTGCCTACAAAGTGCCTTTAAGGGTATCCTGGGCATCATACTTGAAATCCTTTCTCAAAAAAAAATTTTTTTAAGCCCAATGCTGTATTTCCCATCACCCTACTTCCTGTTCCGAGGTTACCAGTAGGGCTCCCAGCCATTCTTTTGAGACAGTTGTAGCTTCACTGAGGTCCCTGGCTCCCTCTCTCTCTGTATATATTTTTTTTGTTTTGCTTTGTTTGTTTCTCAAGGGTGTTTCTGTGTAGCTCTGGCTGTTCTAGAACTCGCTCTGTAGACCAGGCTGGCCTCAAACTCAGAGATCCACCTGCCTCTGCTTCCTGAGTATGTGAGAGACTCTTGTCACAGTACCTGATGTGTTAGTGCTCACAGTGACTTGGGAGTCCCATGCAGCGTCTCACTTAATCTTCTCAGCAAACCTTTGGAATAAGCCTTTGGGCCATGATACAACTGAAGGAAATAGGTGTGGAGAGTGTTACTCATCTCTCAAAGCCATGCAACTCCTGGGTGGAGGAACCAGGGCTCCAATGCACACCTTCCCAATAATTGTGCCCGTAAAAGTCCCAGTGTTGGTAGCAGGAGTTTCAGTTCCATTTGCTGGGATAAGCAGCCTGCTTTCTGGACTTGTGACCTTTTGAAAACAGCACTGCTTCCCCAATCTCATCTTCAGGCTGCCCGACCCTATTCAGTACGTTACAGGAGCTTATACTTCCTATGAGAGACATTGGCTTCCTACCAGCAGACACTAGCATATCTGCTGTGGGAATTGAGGGGGTTCTTGAGTTGGGGCACACTCAACAGCCTCTGGTTCTGCCATCGACTCTGCAAGTCAGGCATCCTTATGTTTTATTTCTGTTCCGCTATGTTTGGGACCTCCACTGGATTGTCTGGAGATAGTGGACATGTACAATAGGTAGGGCTCTGTGTCTGGAGCCTTGGCTCTGTCTGCCAGCTGGGTTCCTCCTCTCCCTGTGACATCATCTGGGGCTAAGATGCCTAAAGAGGCTCTGGCAGGCCCCTGGTGCCTCCACCTTCTTTTATGTGTCCACTCTCTCAGAAGACTTGCTCTATCTTATGGTCTCTGGGCTATCAGAGCCCACTGTCTCTCTCTCCACTGCACTCCACTTTACCTCTAGCCAGTGCTACCTAGGAGGTAGCACCATATACTACAAGAGTCCACCCCTGTGCATGCACTCTGTTTTTTGGACCAGAATGAGATAGATCTAAGGTGGCCAGTAACTTTTGAAGGTATTTGACTCAAAAATGGAAGGAAATCCAGTTCAGCCAGTTAGATTTCGCCTTTTTTAGAAATCTGAACCTGAAAGACTGATTGACAGTATGTAACCAGATGTTAGGATAGTAAGTAGGTTTTTGATGATCTAATGTTCTGGCCAAAATCACAATGGAGAAAGTGAGGAAACAAGTGGATGAAATGGAGAAAACTGCACTTACTGTGGAGGAGGAAGTGACCCTTTGGAAAAGGAGACTGACTGCCCTGCATGTCACTTAGCAGGCTTGTCGCTTTTGCTTTTGCTGTTGACTTAGAAGTGGTCATGTGATTCAGTTCTGCTAATACACTTATGGGGAAATGGTTGGAACCATCTTGAATCCATGAGGCAACGAGTCCAAGGGGAGACAACCAGATAAGGATGGCAGGGCAGACAGGTGAGCAGAAAGGAGCCTGGGTCACTGATGATACTGCTGAGCCCCTGTCCCGGAACCATCTCCTTCCAGCCTGGCTGCTGTGCAGGCCTGCTGTCTCCTGAGCCCTCCTGCCCTTGTGGCCCTTCACCAAACTGCCCTGCCTCTCCTCCGAGCATCCCTTGCTGCTGCTGCTCTATCGGTTTTTCTGTGGTTCTCAGTGGAGAAAACCCAAGCTGCTTTCCTTGAGTGTTGGTGGAAGCCGTCGGGCTTGGCTGATAGGAAACTGACAGAAACAACACCAGTGGCAAGATCTGTCACAGCCTACAGAACAACCCCAGTGATTAGTCATAGCCCTGCAAGCACACTCGGTGGGCACAGACCAGGAAGGATAAATAGTTCTGGAAATTTACATGTGCATGAGCCCAAGTCTTCTCAGACACAGAAAAATATATTGGGGGTGGGGGCAGTGCCTGCAATCCAGAGCCCAAAGAGTGAGAAGTCAGGACAGGCCAGGTGTGTAAATTCTGTGGACAGGTGCCAGTATCTACAGCCGGTTGTTGTGAGCAATGCACAGGAGCTTGGGAGCAGTTTGTGCTGCTCCCTCTCTATGCTGGGGCATGTGCCATCTTCATGCCTTCCCTCTCTTCCTCCCTCCCTCTCCCTTCCCTCCCTCTCTCTCCCTCCCTCCATCTCCCTCCCTCTCTCTCCCTTCCTCCCTCCCTTTTTTCTTCTACCTTTTGTTTAAGGGAAGCAGGCTTGACCCAGCAGTGCACACAGCTAACCCGAGTTTCTTCCAGGCAGCTAAGCACTGGGAGACAGGAGGCTGGGAGTGTGGCTCAGTTGGCAGAGTGCTTGCCTAGCAGACACCACCGCATACACTAGGCATGGTGGATGCTTGTAACCCTCCCCTCGGGAGGGGGAGCAGGAGGACAAGTCCAAGACCAATGGAGAAGCTGAACCTGGCACCTCCTCTTTGAAACTCTAAAAAGCCAGGCTTCTGCTGGTGCCTCAGCTGAAACTGACAGATAGTCATTTCCCCCATTGGAAGCAGACTCTAGCAAAAGCCCAGCTCCCTCGGGGGCATCTCAGAATAACCACAGGGGCCCGTCATGGATGTGTTAAGTCAATGAGAGGCTCTGATGGAGACTCGACACCAGCCCTCAGGACATGGCCTGTGTGCCTCACATCCCAAATGCCAAGGCCAGTAGCTCACATTTGAGTATTGTAGACTTGATTCGCTCAATGGGAATAGACTAAAACCAGCAAAGCAAATCTCAATTTGTAAAAGGGACAAGGAAGATCACCAGAGAGGGGAAAGCAAAAAGCAAAAAAACAAACATAAAAACTCCTGTGAGGTAGAAAAGGCAAAAAAAATGTTTGTGTACCTTGTGGCAGAATTAGGGCCTCCCCTATACTTTTTTTGTATGTACAGTACTGGAGATTAAATGAACCTCAAAACATTCTGGAAAGTGCTCTCACTGAGCCACACCCCAGCCCCTCACTGGGGGATTCTAGGCAGGTGCTCTACTGCTAATCCACGCCCCCAGCCCTCTTTTGACTTTTGCTTTTGAGACAAGGTCTTACTGAGTTGCCTAGGCTGGCCTGAATCTCTGTAGCCCAGGCTGTCCTTGGACTCACATCCTTCTTCCTGCTTAGCCTACTGAGTCACTGAGTAGGGATTATAGATTTGCCCTCAAGTCTGTATCAGAGTTGCCAAGCTTTTGCTGACACTCTTCCCACTCCCACCCCTACCCCCAGAAAGCCTCCATGTAGGGACTATAGGAAGCGGCAGCTTCCTCGTTCCTCCACATGAAGGCTTTACTTCAGGCAGCCGTGGGGTGATGTGTTCAAGCTTCTCCCACAACCTTTAAGGGTGCCCTTTCTTTCCAATGGGGTCTCAGATGAGAAGCGTTGGGCCAGTTTTCTCTTGTAGCTTCCTCTCCAAGGCAACAGCCACATTCAGCACACTCCCCACCACGTCTCCTAAGTGCATCATCATGTCCCTTACGTGACCAATTGACTCAGCTGAGACAGTCTGTAGGTTAGGATTCCGACCAAAGGTTCTTCACCACCCATTATCTCCCCAGGGGCCCTGTCTGCTACAAATTCCCAGCTGTCTAATTAGTTCTAAGGCATTTGTGAAAGGGATGAAGTGACTACATACCTTTGCGAGGATAGGGCTTTTCTCCAGTGTGAATTGTCTGACGTTGGATGAGTTTCCTCATCTTGAAAGCCCGTAGGCAGTCTCTGTTGTGGGTTTCTGTTAGGTGGAAAGCAGCCAAGGTGTGTGGGGATGCTGGCCGAAGCCTCCCACATCCCCAGGGTTCTCTCCAAGGTGGATGATGTGACAATGTTGACAAGGATGATAGTCCCCAGGAAAACTGTATTCACAACAGTCCTGACTGTTCCTGCCAGTACCAGCACTGTAATTCTGAATAAACTTGATCCAGAAATAAAACTCGGCCACACTTATTTCTAAAAAAATTATTTGGCCTTTTGTGGAAAGTAGTTGTGTGTGTGCGCGTGTGCGCGCGCACGCGTACGTGAATGTATGTGTAAGTCATAGGTCACAACCTTGGGTGCTGTTCCTCCAACACCTTTCGAATTGTTTCCTGAATCATGGTGTCTCTCCAGTCTAGAACTTTCCAAGTAGGCCAGACTGGAGGTCACTGCAGACCTGGGATGGCCTGTCACCACGCCCAGGTCACCCAGGTTTTTATGAGGGTTCTAATGATCAAACCCAGGTCATTACTGACTTTACTGAGCATCCTGGCTACCCTTAATCCTGATCCTCCTGCCTCAACCTCCTTTATGCTGAGATTGCAGGTGTGTGTCACCATCCTAGCCTTCCTTGTGCTTGTTCACTTGCCCCTTATGCTTTAACTTAAAATTTTTTAACGTTATTAAAAAGCTTGCCTAGAATTCCCCACTGAAGGGCTGGGGTGTGGCTCAGTGGTAGAGCCCCTGCCTAGAATCCCCCAGTGAGGGGCTGGGGTGTGGCTCAGTGAGAGCACTTTCCAGAATGTTTTGAGGTTCATTTAATCTCTATTATTGTACATACAAAAAAAGTATAGGGGAG